GGTTGCTAAAATGCCAGATCTGGGTTTGAGAAAAACCCAGATCTGGGTTTGAGAGAAGAAGAATAAGGGAGAAGAGAGAGAAAGAAAGAATAAGAGGAAGAAAGAAGAAGGATGAGGAGGGAGAAGGGAGAAGGGAGAAGGAAGGAGGAAAGGAAGCAGAAGATGAAGTTTGAGACCCAGATCTGGTTTGCAGAGGTAAGGGAAAAGGAAAGGTAAAGGAGAGACAAAGTGAAAGAGGAAGAAGAAATGACGTGGATGAAAAAAAATTATTATTTTAAAATTCAATAAAAATGCCAATTAATGCCAACTCATAGGCCAACTATGGTGTTTTTTTTCCATGTCATTAGTCAAGCAAAAAAAGAATTGATTTTGTGGCATTTTAATGTGCCACCTGTAATTTAACTGACGGAAGGACTATTTTGGTACAAAAATGAAAGTTTAAGGATAATTTTGATACTTTTTAAAGGTGAGAGACAATTTTGGTGCTAAAGTAAAAAGTTGAGGGACCAAAATGGTACTTTAACCTATTTAAAATGTCACATGACATTGTAAGTTTACAATCATTATATATCACTATATGATTGATGGTCCACATGTTATATTTATGCTTTTACTCATTTAATAACAAGTAATAATTGTAAACTTATAATTCTATGTGGCATTGTAAGTATATTATTGTCGTACAAATAAGGTGGGCTTAAAGTATGAATTCATATGCTATTAATGATAAGCTATTTCTGACTTGTGCATTCTTTTATAGAAAGACAATCTAATTCTAAGTGCAACCATGATATTTTATACATCTTCTATGGAAAGACAATGGAGTGTTTCTGTAAAACCATTTAAAGTTTAACCTTATCTTTACAAATTAGCAATATAAAGTAGCAATATGAATTTCCTAATTTACTCTCAAATTTCCATACATGCACTGTTGTCAACCTTGTTGTAAGTCAATGATTCTCCAAACCACTATCATTTTTTTTATTTTTTTTTTAACTTCATAAACCTTTCTCTTTCTCTTCTCATATATATCCACCCGTGCTCATGTCTCACCTCCACCTATCTTGACCTCCTCTTAATCTCCTTATAGATAATTTTTCCTACTTAGAGAATGCAAATTACTCTTGAATATGATGGCCCAACTAGTTTCATTAAAGTCACTATCCTAATTGTGTTGGCTTAAACACTCCAAGAGGGGTGAATTGATTCTTCAAATTTTCTCTTTTTGCAACCACCAAATGAAAAACAAAGAGAAAAGGGAAGAAGAGCTTACACACTTGATTTTATAAAGATTTAACCCAACTATTTGGCACCTAATCCTCTACCTGGGTTTTATTCACCAAAGATTTCCTCATCATTCTCCATTAGTGATCAAGAGTAGTTTAAAGGAGTTATCCAATCCTTTTACAAATTGTTTTTCACTCAAACACTCCTCTTTATAAGAATTATCAACAAAACCTCACTTGGTTTCTCTCTTGAATGCTTTATTCACTCTCAAGTATCACTTCTTAAAGCTTCACTCACTACCAAGATCACAAAGAAAGAGTAGAAAGAAAGATTACACAAGATATGATATTTCCAACATCTAATTTGCAAATGTGAGCTTAAAGTCTTGAAAGGATTTGCAATCTAGGCTCAATTCTTGTTTTTGATCTTCTATGTTATGTCTTTACGCTCCCCCAAGGTGTTTATCAACAATATTTATGCCCTTAAAGCTGAAACTAGCCATTTGGAGATGTTGGAGTGCATTAAATGCATTGAAATATTTGTTGCTCAAAATTCAAATTTCTAGCCTATAGTCAACTATAGTCTTTTATAGTCAACTTCATGGCATTTTTTTATAATTTTTTACAACTTCTCAATTTGAAATTCTGACACTCAATGGTAAAAATTTTTTGCCTATAGTTGACTCTAACTCCTTATGGTCAACTAGATGGCATTCTTGTAATTAATTTGAAACTTTCACATCTTTAAATGCATTTTACTTTATAGTCAATTATAGTCTTCTAAAGTCAACTTTATCTTTCTTCAGTCAACTATTAACACACCATGAACTCATATCAAACTTTCTATTTCTATCATTTACTTTTTTTTCATTGGTCAACTTTAACCTTGTAGAGCTCACTATATTACTCTGATAGTTGACTTTGGCCTTCTTTAGTTGACTTCATGGCAAAGTTGTAAATAATTTGATTTTTCTGGAGATGTGGTCCTTCATTTTCTATTATAGTTGACTTTATCCTCCTAAAGTTGACTATTTATAAATTTATTCATTGATAGTTAACTCTATCTTCTTTCAATCAACTATATGCCAGATTTTTCATATTTTTCATCTTTCCAAGTTGCTTTTGACACTTAAATAAATTAAAATATTTTGTACACTTACACAAAACTCATTAGAATTTTCATAATAGTTTTGTTATCATCAAAACCATCATAAGAGCTCAACACATTGACCTTAATGAGTGGTCTAGTGGGGAACCTAATGCTTGTTTATGGGTCAATATCTATGAAAGAGTTTGTACTTAATATGAATGATAGCTAGTTTGTGAAGGAAGATTTTTGCTAGCTAGATATTATGGGTGGCCTACCTTGACACATCTTTGTCATGTATGACGACTATGACGACTAATACAATTATTACATAATCTTCTATTCCTTTGGTCTCTATTAGGATTTTGTTTTATCTCTTTCAATTTCTTACATAGAAATACATAAGTATTTTTCTATGCAAGGATTTGATGCACACAATTAAAGTAGGAAAGCTAATGCACGTACAACATATATTTAGGGTGGAAACGATGGTGGTGATCGTAGTAGTTCCAACTTAGCATGATATGTTCGTCAATAAGGCATGAATGAAAAGACCTTAGAGCATTTGATATGAAAAGCCCTTAAAAATAGTTTAATGAGGATGGATCATGCCACCTTGGGCACCAGCTTTTGTGATGGGGCATCATACATATGCAGATTTCGTTGTACAGTGTGTAACTATTCAAGATCCATTACCAACATAGCAATCCTTTCATTGTGTCACGTTAACATCACCAATTTTGGTGTCTTAATATACCATTGTAGTGGAAAAGCCTTTCCATTATCCCACAATCACAAAGTTATTTTATTTTATTAAGACACATTTTACTTTCCTTTTTGATGGTTGGTGAAGGTCCTTTTTTTGTAATTCAAATGTAATGGCCCAAATCCCACATCAGTGGAGGCTTGTGAGTAAATCTGGTATATAAGTGTAAAGACCAACCAATACTAACAATTTGAGCTTGAGTTTTTGAGGACCTATGAACCTTGGCTCAAAGAGTTATTAAGCCAGTGGCAAGCTTTACCCAAATCATTTTAATTGGTATCATAGTTAGGTCTTGATACTAGGACTTGTGGGTTGTGGGATTTGTGGTATATAATGCTTGCTTTCAATAGTTTCATTAGCCAAAACATTACTTTCCAACAAAATCCAAATATAGTCCCTAGTAAGAAATATAAAAGTTTCCTTTTCCCTTTTACTTTTTCTTTTTAAAATTTTTTTGTTATTATCTATCTTTTTTTATTTTGTTTTATTTTTTGAAATGAATTGCCTAATTTTTTTCTTAATTTGCTTTTCCTTTTATTCTTCTAACTACATAGGCTAGATGAGTTAGAAAGGATCTATGCTACTAGTGAAAAGCTTATAAATAGACAGAGGCTTTAGGTCGATGGCATACTTAACATTACTCATACAATGGGTAATATTTATTCTTTGTTTAATTATAGTTAGGAAAAAGGGTTGTAAAATTTGGATTGTACAACCATAACCATTGAATTGGGGGTAAGTCCTTTAATATTGGGGGCCCTCCCCATCTAGTGGCTCCTATTTTATAGTCTAGTGCAATCTGGACTATAAAATAGGAGACTCTTATAATTATAGATTTTTATTCAATCTCATCTCTAGCCACTTCATAAAAAATAAAAAAAAGGATTCTACCTTATAGACAATCTTGAGGTCATCAACAAACATTAGATGGTTCAAGTTAAGAGCCTTACAGTGTAGATGGTATTGGAAAATGGGCTTAAAAGATGCCTAATATAGAAACCTGCTCAAATACTTCAGTCCTAGCATTAATAAGGGCAAATGGAATGTTTTTGTCTTAGACCTCTTTTACCCCTAAATAACCATAAAGAGAACCATTGACCAATATAGAAAAATGTGTAGTAAAAAAGAACCAACAAATATAATTATGATAGATAGGGCCAATAAAGATGCTAGAGGATGCCTAATTTGATATATATATATATATATATTTTTTTTTTTGCTTTATGGTATGATGTGTAATTACATGTCATCATCTAATTTAAGGAAAATGCCATATGGAACTATTTAACAGCCAATTGTGAGTTAACGAACAGAAAGATTAAAAAAAAAAAAAGAAAAAAGAAAAAAGAAAAAAACAGGCATTTTTCAAAGTTGAATGATGAAAAAGACAAAAATTAGTTTAGGGATTAAAATTGTTTAAAAATAAAAGTTTGGGACTAAAATAATTAGCATTTAACCAAAAGCTGATCTCGTTTCCATCGTCTCCTCCGACTCTCTCGAAGCTTCCGAGACCCAACCACAAAACCCTACTAAAACCCCACGCCCTTTATAATCATTTTCTACTTTCACCTAACTCAGGGCTCCTAAATACGCTCCTCGGCGCTCTTTCACTCTCTCTTTCTCTTCCTCTGCATTATGCACAGGCTCTCTAATCGCTCTGTCTCCGCTGTCCTCCGGGCTCCTGGAGCACGGTACAGGACTGCCGCCGCGGCCTCAATCCCACGCTCTACTCCCTCTATCGATTCGGTATGACCCTTATAAACTCTGTTGCTAAATTTCAAATTTTTTTTTCATCATCTGAAATCTTGGATGCATATGTTTGCAATTGTAATTGATGATCAATCTGTTGATTTGACTATGAACAGGTGCCGGATAATGATGCGAAGTTCAGATGGTATTCGGCTTCAACGGCTGGGAGGTGTGACGCAGCCAGATCGTCTACTCAATTGAACTTGAAAAGCGGCCTGTTTTTGGGTAACCGATACGAATCAACTGCCGCTGCATCAGATGCAGCCACTCCCCCACCAGCTGAGAAATATGAGTATCAAGCAGAGGTAATCAGCAGTTACTGTGGAGATCATATTAGTTATTATTTGAAGTTTGGATGTGCTTTAATAATATTTTACATCTGATTCGCAGGTTAGTCGGCTCATGGACCTTATTGTTAATAGCTTATACAGCAACAAAGAGGTCTTTCTTCGTGAGCTTATCAGGTAATCTATAATCTACTTAATTTAGTGTCTGAAGTTAAGAAAATTTAGATACTGTTCTCTATAGCTGCTAGTTTTGGGTTACTGTTCTCTATAGCTGCAAGTTTTGGGTTCATTGCATGGCAATATAGATTAGATATGCCATACTTATATTTCTTGTTGTTTTTACATTAGCCCTTTTAGTTTGATCTATCCTCCTCTGTTGTTGCATGGAATCCAAGACTATTGTATTATCTAGTCATGTGTGTAGCCTGATATAATTTGCATGATGCTTTCTGCTTTATTTTTTGGGTGGCATTTTAGTTTGGTGGAAACTTGTCAGGTTGGCCCCTAAGGGGGTGTCTCAAGGGGCTAAGAGCTTAAGATTCAAAGTAGGAGATCTCAAGTTCGAACCTTGAGACATGTGGGGAGGGATTGAGGGAAGGGGAGGGCTATGCCTCGTTGTCAGGTTGTAATCTAGTTTTGCTAAAGGCATGGAAATCTCTTCTATTGAAGAATATATTTGGTTCAGACACCATGATAATGACATAGCTTAAACTTATTAAATTCTTGTTTACAGCAATGCAAGTGATGCCTTGGACAAGCTGCGTTACCTGAGTGTTACTCAGCCAGAACTTTTAAGGGATACAGTTGATCTTGATATTCGTATCCAAACTGACAAGGATAATGGGACTGTAACCATAATGTATGCTTTTATAAGCTTCAAGAATCTTTTTGGTTGATGGTTTTATGTTAATCTAGGTGGTATAACTCTCTTTGGTTGCTTCAGTGATTCTGGCATTGGTATGACTCGCCAAGAGCTTATAGATTGCCTGGGAACAATTGCACAGAGTGGAACTGCAAAGTTCTTGAAGGCAGTGAAGGTACAGTGTTTCTTCAAGCTAGTGATTTTTCTTAACTGACCAAATTCACATGTATTTACTTGAAAGGATATATCCATTTGCAGGAAAGCAAGGACTCTGGTGCTGACAGCAATTTAATTGGTCAATTTGGTGTGGGCTTCTATTCAGCTTTTCTTGTCTCTGATCGTGTATGTTCTTTTTCCCCTGTTGTCTTATCCTTAACAATTGAATCTTGAAGTTTCTCCTTTTTTTTTTTTTTTTTGGCTTGAAACTTATGTTTCCCATGGCATCTGTAGGTTGTTGTCTCAACAAAAAGCCCAAAATCTGATAAACAATATGTATGGGAGGGAGAGGCAAATGCTAGCTCATATACTATTCGTGAGGAGACTGACCCAGAGAAGCATATTCCCAGAGGAACATGCCTTACATTGTATCTCAAGGTCTTCATGTGATATTTATCATCAGTTGCAGCTTGTTTGCCCCTTTATTCTTTTCTTCATGGACTTACCAGGTTTAATTTCTTTATCTTCTGCCTATTTTCAGAATGATGACAAAGGCTTTGCGCATCCTGAGCGGATTCAGAAGCTTGTGAAAAACTATTCACAATTTGTTTCATTCCCAATCTACACCTGGCACGAGAAAGGTTTTACCAAGGAGGTAAGATAACCTCATGGAGCTTCCTTTTTAATTTGGTAGGGGACTAAACCCTGTGTTTGTTTGTTTATTGTGTCTGATTATAACAGGTTGAGGTTGATGATGATCCAGCTGAAGCCAAGAAGGATGACCAAGATGAGAAAACTGAGGTGATTACTCTGTTTCATTAGATTTTCTATACCATGAATGACTTGTTTATGCATTGTTTGGAAACTGAAGGCTTTGTCTATGCTTTTATAATAGAAGAAGAAAAGGACAAAGACAGTTGTTGAAAGGTACTGGGACTGGGAGCTTATTAATGAGACTCAACCAATCTGGGTAAGTTCTTGAACTGCCATATTTTGGTTGTCCTCTCCTTTTTGTGAAAAAGGTTTAAGTTGTGATCCGTTGATCTGTGCAGCTTCGCAACCCTAAGGAAGTGACAACAGAGGAATACAATGAGTTTTACAAGAAAACCTTTAATGAATTCTTGGATCCATTAGCATCTTCACACTTCACAACTGAGGTACTAACAACTTGATTTCTGCTTCTCCACTGTTTTAGATGCTACTTGATGCTATTTCTAAGATTGACTGATAGTTATTCAATATTAGTAACCAAAAAATGGTTTAGTTTGTCATCAATTTAAAACTCTATAGGCTATCAAGTTTTACTAGAAAAGGAAAACCATAGCTTTAATTGTTGTCTCTGGTTAGGATTATTATCTAAATTTCTTTTTCTTGCAAAATGCACAGATCTGGTTGCAGCTTGCTCATATCTTTTATTTTCTCTTTTGTTTGCCTCCTGAGCAATAAATGTTATTATTTCAGGGTGAGGTCGAGTTTCGTTCTATACTCTATGTTCCAGCTGTTGCTCCTATGGGAAAGGATGAAATCTTGAATCCCAAGACAAAGAATATAAGGCTTTATGTTAAACGGGTTTTCATTTCAGATGATTTTGACGGAGAATTGGTAAGAAAATGACTGTCCCTTATACATGGAAATGTATGAGTTTGAAATGTGATCTTATAGGTGTTGATTGACTTTACTTTGGACTGCATAGTTTCCTCGATATTTAAGCTTCATCAAAGGTGTTGTGGATTCAAATGACCTTCCCCTCAATGTCTCACGTGAGATCCTTCAAGAAAGTCGAATAGTATGTGACTAACTTGAGTTTGTGAATATTGTTAGAAGTTTGAGTTACACTTTTGTCTAATCAACAACATTTCTCTAACTTCTGTTTTCTGTAGGTGCGGATCATGAGGAAACGCTTAGTTCGAAAGGCCTTTGACATGATTCTGGGGATTTCCCTGAGCGAGAACAGAGAAGTATGCTTGATGCTTCTTCTTGCTCCTCTTGTCCATCCATATGCCCTGTGGCACCCCCACTTTCTTTTGTTCTTTTTTCTTTCTGCATGCATGTACACTTAGGAATAAAATGTATAGCACCATTATGAAATTGATTTCCTAATCTTTGTCAGCTGTGGAAATTCAAAAAATCTTTGCTCTTGACTTTTGTTTGCTTAATCATGGTCTTTAGGACTATGAGAAGTTTTGGGAGAACTATGGAAAATACTTGAAATTGGGATGCATAGAAGATCCAGAGAATCACAAGCGTCTTGCACCACTGCTAAGATTTTTCTCTTCCCAAAGTGAGGATGAAATGATCAGCTTGGATGAATATGTTGAGAACATGAAACCTGAGCAGAAGGATATTTATTTTATTGCTGCTGACAGTGTTAACAGTGCTAAGAACACACCTTTCCTTGAGAGACTTATTGAGAAGGATCTAGAAGTATGTGCTTTATTTTGCATTGAGAAAACTGGAATCTATATTTATTATTTTTACCTAATAGATATGGGTTTTTTGTCCTCTGTTGTTTTCCCTAGGTCCTATATTTCATTGATCCCATTGATGAAGTTGCCATCCAGAGACTGCAGTCTTACAAGGAGAAGAATTTTGTTGATATAAGCAGGGAAGACTTGGATTTAGGTTTGTTTTTGATATCTTGACAATATTGAATTTTACTTAACATGGAAATAATTTGAGTTTTGAGGTTTTCATTCTTGCTTATATCAACTTGTTGCTTATATTATTATTACCAGGCAATTAGGACTGTTATGGGACTGTTGGTTTTAATTTAGTTTAATTGCTTGCACTTAAATGTAGATTATGAACTCATTTGGTTCAATTTTTTTTTTTTTCAGGTGATAAGAATGAGGAAAAGGAGAAGGTCATGAAACAGGAGTTTGGCCAAACTTGTGATTGGATTAAGAAGCGCTTGGGTAACAAAGTTGCCAGTGTCCAAATCTCAAACCGTTTGAGCTCATCCCCTTGTGTTTTGGTGTCTGGGAAGTTTGGTTGGTCTGCCAACATGGAAAGGTAAATGTTATCTTCCTTACATGGTCAATACGATTTAGTGTTCTCTTCTGACATTCTTAACATGGAACTGGTTTTTTTTTTAGACTAATGAAGGCACAATCAGTTGGTGACACTAGTAGCTTGGAGTTCATGAAGGGAAGAAGGGTGTTTGAGATCAATCCTGAACATCCTATTATTGAAAACTTAAACGTATGGTAGAGAAGTATTCTTTTCTCTCTTCCTAACATCCCACCTTACTCTTAGCCAATCTACATTTGTGTTCTGCAGGCTGCATACAAAAGTAATCCAAATGATGAAGATGCCCTGAGAGCCATTGATCTTTTATACGATGCAGCTCTTGTTTCTAGTGGCTTTACTGTGAGTTTTCCTGCATTTCTTTTCATCTCTCTAAATAGAATATTATTGTGCTTAAATTCATAGTTATGCAATTTGTTAATATCCTACTGTCTATGGAAAATCTAGTCCCCGTGGATTTCAATACTTCTCCTAGATCTTTACCCGTTTTATAATTTTATTCGGTAGTATTGTTTTATTGAATAATCTATAACTTTGATTTGTGATTGTGCAGCCTGAGAATCCAGGGGAGCTTGGTGGGAAGATATATGAGATGATGGGCATTGCTCTTTCAGGCAAATGGTATACACCTGCTAAATCTAAGCATTCTGAAACCCAACCTCAGAACACTGACATACAGGAAGCTGAGGTGGTTGAGTCTGTCGAAGCAGATAATCAGAAATAAGAAGCACCTGGTTCTGCCGTGCAATTTTCTTGTTTCGGCATGCATATACTGTAATCGGAAAAACAGATTTAGGGCATGGTTCATGAACGTGGAAGAAAGTTGTGGATTTAATCTGGGTGTATCCGAATGCGGGATGCCATTTTCTCTTTTTTTTTTTCGGGCCGAGAGGGATGCCATTCTATTTAATAGTCTTATTGGGATGTTAATCCATGATTTTAAAATGTTAAATTTAACCAACTTTTTATTAACTAATAATTTTTTACTTGTTATTTCTATTAATTATTTTTTTAATCTAACTAAGCTATTAACTTTCAAAATGGTATGACACGGCTTAGTCCATTGAAGTTACGAGAAAGGGACCGACGGAAGTCAACACTGGCACCTATGTGGCAGCAACATAGATAACAACGCGGCCAAACAATCAATGTTCTGAAACATAAGCTTTTAATTTTAGGTTCAATACTCGATTTGGTCCTTCAACTTTTATTTTTAAACTAAATTTACTCTTAAACTTTAAAAGACACCAAAAGTATACTCCAACTTTGATTTTTAGAACCAATTTAATCCTTTCGTCAGTTAAATGCTAATGTGGTGAAATTACCGGTTAAGTAATTCAATTTCTATTAATATTGAGTATGAGGTGGAAACAAAGCTGGTGATGTGGCATTTTTTAATTATAAAGCATTATGATGTGATAATTTTTAAAATAAATGATATGGACATAATTAAATAAAGGTTAATACTTGATTTGGTCTCTCAACTTTCATTTTTAAACCAAATCTATCCTTAAAACTTTAAAAAGTACTAAAATTTCAAACTACAATTTTTTATAACAATTTAGTCTTTCCGTCAATTAAGTGCTGATATAGTAAAATCCTCGATTAAAAATATCATTTTTTCTATTTTTAATATTACAAAGAAGTGCCACATAGATTCAAATGTTGATGTAGTAAAATTATAATATGGTGGTGCCATAGGAAGAGGGACAACTTTTTTGTCCTACTTTTTTTATATAACTTTCACATATCATTAAATGAGTGAATGCATTTAATATTTCAAGTTCAATATGAATTAAAAAAACTAATTATTTTAATGACATCACATTTTTAAATACTAAAAATTAAAAGTTGATATTTTTAAATAAAAAAAAATAAAGTGAACATTCTTACTTACACTTTTCTCAGTTAATTTATAGTAAAGGTTTATATTGAACTTTTTTTTGATAACAGAGGGACGAGAGTTAGCTTCAACCCTTTAAAAACACACCTGGCTTATCCTAAAGTGGGATTCCCTCGTAAACCAATAGAAATTCACCAACTTTTAGTGTGAAATGTCGGATGGTCCTATGTACACATATTATAAAATCTCTAACTAATTCTATTGTTGATGCTATAGGAATATTTTAAAGAATAAAGTTATTAAATAAAAATTAATTTTTATTTGTTTAATACTAATTAATATAAAAAAAAATTCTTAACATATATCCTAAATACACATATTAGAGCAAACAAAAAATTCTTTTAAACGTGATGTATTACATATCATTGTAATAACATCACAAAATGTTAAATAAATCTCAAAATTTATAGTTATTGATCTTTTATAATAAAAAATCTCCCCATAATATTATATATATATTCATTAATTTAATAACTTGTTATACTCATGTAATAATATGTTATATTTATTTAATGTTATGATTGTAAACTTACAACTTTATGTGACATTAAAACTATAATATTATTGTTAATTAAATTATGTATTAATTAAAAAATATATAAAGAAAACAAAATTTAATTAAAATGTAAATTAAAGAGAAGAAAAATGGTCCCATAAAAAAAATTTAATTACAATTGTCCCATAAGTTTTCTTCTCTGTTACATGAGTATAACTTTAATTAAAATATAATTTATTGTGACATTATATATTAAAAATCTTCCCATAATATTATATATATCCACTAATTTAATAATATGTTTTACTCATGTAACAATATGTTATATTCATTTAATATTATAATTGTAAACTTACAACTTTATGTGACATTATAATATACACATGGGATTGAGAAATGGAATAAGATATGCCCATTATTTAACTCATCAATCTCGTGACTCATGTCTAATTTCGGTTGATCAGACAAACATAAATACATGAGAAAAAAATTTAAATTGAAAGGTTCTCCTAGTATAGAAAAATGGAGAAACACTACAAAAACTAAGCATTACGAAAACAAACTCACCTAGAAACTGGAAATGCACAAGCAATTTTTCCACATTCCACACATAATCTGATCAGACACCCAACGAAAAGCTCCTCTGGGGTCCAAGGTTTTGTGGTTTTATCTCCCATGACATGACCTCCTTCTCTTCCTCTGGTGTACTCGGTTGAATGAAAGGCAAAGAGATCTCACAGATCATTAAGTCACCACAGAACGGGCATTCACTAGCGACTGCATCATCTAACTGTGACCGAAGCTGCTCAGTGATCCAACATGAGAAGCCAACTAATTATTGTTGTATTTACTACCAAGACATGTTCACCAAGTCAACAATGGGCATGAGGCCCAGTATTCCAGAAAGACAAGCCACCAATTAATAAAAAGAAATTGAAAAGAGAGAAGTCAAAAAATGAAATCAAAAAACCATCGTTAAAAATTTTCTGACATGGAAACACAAATGACGTATTCTGCTTTGATAGAATGTGTATCCTAGGCAACCTTATTTACAACCTGTAAATCTACACTGTATTAACTTTTGTAGCAGGGAACAAAAAGGGAAAAACAAATTCAACCAAATTAAAATGTACCTTTTCTACAGGGCTTAAGCTGGTTATAGAATCCTCTGTCAAGACACCATTTGGTTCCTTCCGTGATTCACTACCAAGTAGAGTTAGCTGCTTCTGCAAATCCAGGATGCGCTCCGCCTTCAACATGAATTTTACTATTAATTCTAAATGACAGTCATAAAATCTTTAGGGCTAATGAAATAATGATCTTTCGGGAAAAAGCATTGCATTATGCTACATTTGTTAAATAAAGAATTATATGCAAAAGAAATTTCAGCAACTAACTTGGGTTTCATCAGTGCGACGTGTCAACTGTGTCACATGTGTAATTAAACACAGGGAATGGAAAGCATGTCCACATGGAAAGACATACAAAGGGGCCATTGGACCTACAGATGTATAACCTCGAGCCATCCGATAGTCCATACCAACAGTCAAAATTTTTCGTCTACAGACCTGATAATTCAGAGATCAAGAAGTCACCCTTGAGATACAGATATGAAATTATCCAATCAACAGTAACTGGCTACTTAACTCATATATTGTGATAAAGGAATGAATGCCAAGGAAAAAAAAAAAACAACTGTGAGCAAAGTTATTGTCAGTTCCAGAAAGTCTTAAAACACTGTTCTGAAACTACAAGGAGGAATCTCCAAGGACTTTTAAGTCAAGCATAACACTGCTTTAGCTCCATCAGAACCATTTAAACAATACTGCTTCCATAGCTTTGTTTATGTAATTATCAACTTATGAAATCTAACTAAACATACGGATGATCAATACCCCGCATTCTTCATCTCGATCGATGACAGCATATCTTTGAGCTAGTGCACTGATATCATTTCTGATGTTGTCTGCACCATGTGTTGCATCATTCATCTCCTGTTTCAAGAGTTCGATTTGCTTATTGTAATCCTCTAGTGATGAGCAGATTGCTTCCTACATACACAAAGAAGAAATTCAAAATCTAAAGGCACATAAATCTGCGATAGGGGAGCACAAGAAAGTGACAAATAATTAAATAAAATATTTATACGATGCAAGATCACATTAAACAACAAACTAATTTGGCACATAAAATGGATGACTTCAATTGACTAACAGATAAACTTCAGTTAGACAAACTTCAGTTAGACGACAAATATTCCAACAGTTCAGTTTTTAACCAGGAATAAATAGAGAAAGAATCTTCTACTCATCAGGAAAAAGAAGAGTCTACATTCCTACCATGCTTAAACTTCAGAGCACGTTCTGAAATGTTGGTTTACCTTAACTCTTCTCCAAGAACACTTATGCTCTTGGGTTTTAGTTTTCCCTTTTCCCTTTTTCTTTTTTGTACTAGGCCAAATCTTCCGTGGTAAACACCCTCCATAATTTTCACTCTGGTCAACACTCTTCATAATTTGAATCCCATAAAAACCCCAAATTAGTAACAAAATCAGGGTGCAAAGAAAGGGCTTGACAGTTAATTTTTGGGTTTTTATGAGTTTAAAATTATGGAGGGCTTTGACCAAGAGTAAAAATTCTTGAAGGTGTTTACTATGAAAAAAAAAGTTAAAACTCCATTTTGGTCCCTCTACTTTAATGAAAAACCCCTTTTTAGTCCATCTACTTAAAAAAACCCCTTTTTGGTCGCTAAAGTTCAAAATTCGATCCCTTTTTAGTCCCTCCATTACTTTTTGCACGTCACACATTAGGTGACGGAAAGTCTAAAGTAATGGAACTAAAAAGGGACTAAAAACAACTCCTTTTTAGTCCCTTTACTTTCAAAAAGAGCCCTTTTTTGATTCCTTTAATAAAAAAACCCCTTTTTAGTCCCTCTACTTTGGAATTTCCGTTACCTAATGTGACATTTATGCAAAAAGATAACAGAGGGACTAAAAAGGGCAGGATTTTAAACTTTAGGGACCAAAATGGGGCTTTTTTAAGTAGAGGGACTAAAAAAGGGCTTTTTGTTAAAGTAGAAGGATCAAAAAGGGGTGCAAGGTGCAAATAGGGGGTTTGGCCTTTGCACTATCGGTTTTTCTTTCTCTGGCATCCCCCACCTCGGCACCACCCCATAAATAAATAAATAATTGAAATAAAATTTATCCTCACAATCAGTAAATAGAAATGAAGACTGGAGGGAACATAGTAAATGCAAAATAAAAAATTAGAAATTAATAAGACACCATCTACTTAAGGATGTTGCTGATCATTTTATCTTCAACATAGCAAACTCCTTGCTTTGTCAGCATAGATGTCAATAAAATTCACAGGATGAAATAATAAACTTACCTCACTTTTTTTGTTTTGCCATAAACTGACCTCACTAAAAAAAAAAAGAAAAGAAAAGAAACTTAAACGTGTAAAATTTGGCAAGAATATTAGTTTAATGGCTCAAATATCTGATGTTCTGCATTTTATCACAGGTGATTACACTCTTAGAAGCCAATTTTTTTTTTTCTTGCCCAAGCTGAGTCAGAAGCCAAATTTTTAAAGCTGGTAGAATCATGAAGAAAAGATAACTATTTGCAATACTCTTAATCTCAGTCCCAGCCACAGTTCATGTATCTGATCCTAAAAGTAAAGTTCACAAGTTGCATGGTCATTACATATTCAATCAATACTAATAATACAGGAAACTGAAGTTGATAAACCATGATACTGAGTCACTGACATAATTAATCAAATGTCTCAAAACAAAAAATTAGAATGACCAATTAAACATATAGGATATGACATGCAAAACATCACATGAATGGGTAATGGGTTTGCAGGAATCAACATAACAACAATCAACATAAAATAGTTAATTCACTTAAGTGGATTAATTCGTTTAACATGAAGTTAAATTGCTTAAACAGTTAGCATGAGCTATTTCACATAGTTTTTCCACTTGTTCAACCCTTTAACACTATTTTTAATCAATCATAGCATAAACATAAAACAATTAATTAATACAATTTACAAAAAAATCATGGTCATGTTAGAAAGTTCTAAGAGAAAGAATACAATCTAATTGATCTTATCAAATTGAACATCATTAATACTGCACAAATCCACTCAAGTTAAAAGTTAAAACCAAAACAAATTCTTTGATGTCATATCAATATTTCTATCCATACCTAAAAGATCTTGCTGCTGGGATAAGTTCAAAAAATGAAGTTGATTAAGCATTCAAAGTTCAAACCAATAGTTAACACACTAAAAAAGTAGAATTGGAGCTGAGGACTTTGAAATAATGAATGCATAATGGAATCAACATTAGAAGTTATCTATAAAATTCAAGTGGGAAGCAACCAAACAAACTGCTCCTAAACAAGTTTACAAGTAAAATCATTAAATATGTGGATTATCTTACCATTTTTTTTTTTTTGAAAATCGGCAATGGAGCGGATTATCATACCTTAAAATCATCAATTAGCGCAAAGTCTGGAAAGAATGGTAATATGTCCTCAATCTTTAACAGGCCATCAGTTTCTTTTAGAAATGCTATGGCCTTCCTTATATTCTCCCTTTTGGTACCCTTTTCCTGCTCAATAACATGCTTGGCAACCATAAGCCAAAGCTTCTTTCTCATGTCTTCATCATCTTCAACCTTGTCCGCTTCAGCCATAGCAAGCTCTGGATCAACCTAAAGCAACCAAAAATAGATAATACATCAAGGAAACAGAAAATAAAATAGCATACTGATCATTAAAGTCTTGAATATGTGGCTTTAACCATGGAAATTTCACTAGGATTCTTAACCAACAGGAGTGCTTGTCAGTAATCTAGGCTTAGCTAAGGTGATTAGTGGACTTGGGGTTTGAAAAAAGACTTCAGGTTCAAACTGCAATACTCTCTATATTACTGAAAACAATGGAAAAGATGCACCTTGTTGGAACTTCAGAGTTGGGAGTGACCATGCCAACTCAATTGAAATTTTTACAGTCTATATGTTAAGAAATATGAATACTCAATGTGAATATATTCTAATTTTTATTTAGAAAAACATTTCGCATATGTCCATAGAAAGAAACTCACACAAAACTTGGCATAAATTTATTTTCTTTTAATTCATACTAGAAAAATACATAATATGAGAGAAAAAACAATAATTAGTATATTCTAGTGTTGGAATCAGCCAATGTGCTTATTTCCAGAAAGAATTTTACTTTTGTGGCTTTAACAACTCAAATGGCCCTATAGCTCTAGTCAAAATCTCACAAGTACAAGAAACAGATACCTAGAATGAAGGAGTTGTTATAAAGCAGAAGTACTAAATCATGTAAACATAGAATACGAATAAAGCAAAGTCAAATCATGAAACTGTTTTATTACCTGCAAAGCAAGAGCAACAGCTTCCTCATGCATTGACATCATGCTGTATATATGAACACAAGCACGCATTCGTTTTTCCTTGAGACAAAGGCGTAATGCAAACTTGGGATCATAAAAGAATTCAGGACCATTTTCAAGTCCTTTTCCAAATTTACATTGCAAGAAACGCAGGAGGGCACTGTCATCTTCCTACATATATCATATAAAAGGGAATCAAAATCAAATTCATGTCTAAATAAGCTCATACAAGTGTAAGCATGAACTAAATCAGACTAAGAAACTGCACACGTGTGCATGCATGGAAGTGTACAAATGAGCACCCCAAATCAATTGAAAATATTCAATTTCATTAAAATCATCCACGACAAACTAAAACATTACATGTGCTACATATAATAGTTGAGACTAAGCTTCAATTTGTAGGATCTGAAACAGGGCCAGTTACATCATTGTATAAATCCCTTCATATAACATAATGCGGTTTTAATTAAACAACAAAAACAAGGAATCTGAACCACATTTAGCACTAATCTCCTCACCACTCCCATTTGTAATTACTAAGATTCCTATTTTCTGTTTTCTGCAAAGAACTATCCTTTCCCATTTTGTTTTCCTCATTTAGTTTCAACAAAATATCAAATTTTTATTTTCGCACACAAATCAATTTTGCATAAAGCTAGAACTGATACTGTACAACCTGACATAAATAAATAAGCCTGAAATGTTCAGGAATAGGATACACATATATGGACTGCAATTAAGAAGCAATATAAATTCTCCCAAGTCCTACCTAACTGAAATGCATTAAACCGTATAATGATTATAATGATTAGAAGGATAAGATATCTCTTAAGGAAACCTGGAAATGATTATGATATCAATGGCATGGCAGCTAGAAATAGACTGGCAAACATACAGAACAGTAAAAAGGAAAACAAATAGAAGTTTATTGGCATAAGCACACAATGCAATCAGTAGTTTTAACACAGCCAATGATGCTGCTGCAAAGTTAAGAAAGCTTAGAGCAAGTAACTCAACCTGCTTGGCATACAAAGAAAGCAACAAGTTGTGAATTCCTGGATCCTCATTATGCAAGCGGTTAACACAAAATTCAAGATATTTGATTACTTCATGAGTTTCATTCCTGCATGTTATAGTTGAAACGAAAAGGAATACAAGACCCGTAAGAACAGATAAATACAAATCCTCAAATCCACAGCAAACCAGGAACCAAGAAACTGAACAAATAATTATTGGAGACTTATTTCCAGACCATGGGTAATTAATGGTTAATGATATAGAAAGTATAATATCCAATAAATAATGAAAATTGATGTCATGGCAACTAAATTTCTTATTTCTTTGGTACGAAATGCTATTCAGTGTCATAAAATGAATCAACCAGTAATATATACTAAACTGGAAATGTCTCAAAAAAAACAAAAAATGACAGCATTGTAAACCCAGACATCAAATTGCCATAAGATCCATCAGAATATGAAAGCTACAATGTTGGTGAATAAAGATGCTTCTCTGTCTTGTGAAGGGATAACTCACAGTGCTTCATCCTGTCTGATTCTTTCCATGCACCCATGCCATGCAATCAATTCACAATAAAGAATCTAAACAAATTTCCTCATAACAAACATTTACCCAACCTCAAACATAGAATTCTTTTAATTAAAAAAATGCAAGATTTTCAACCTATAAAATGAATAGTAGACTAGAGGCCAAAAGAAACCAGCATAGCAAACTCAATGCACATTAAATCTGACAGATAAAACAGCCATAAAACTGTTCTTTCAATGAAAACCATGCATGACCTCATAAATCTGCATGAAAACTTTCACTTTGCCTGCTAATATAAACTATCATAACAAAATAATCACAAAGGGATTCAACTAAAAAACTTAAATTTAACATGAAGCAAATAGAACAATTGGAAAAATAACCAATAGTAATGATTAAATGCATTTCAAAAGAAAGTCTAATGAGCAGTACTTTGCATGAGGTTCACTTGAATAACGCATCATTGCAGGTATAAGTTTTCTTGGGTTCAGGTTGTTTGAGGACATCCATGACTCCACAGTTTCATATGCATCAAGCGCTATAAGATCAGGGGCAAACTTGTACTGCAGTTTTATTGTAATATCATTAATTACACTTGGGAGTAAGAGGATGTTATCTCTTACAAAAACACAACATCAACCAGCTTTTGTAAGGCAGAGGAGGAATTAAATGATAAGGAAATAGATATTAAATGAGGATCAGCTGGCCAACATGGAAAAGGTGATTTGACAGTCTTCTGTATTCCAAATTCTGGAGCTTGATTCATACCTGAAGGTCCACAGGAACAGAAGGTTTCCAAAGAACTTCCAATGCTTTCTTTGCTTCTCCTTGCTGAAGCCAAAAAGGTAAACATCTATAAACATTAAATCTTAAAATGAAAAAGAAAAACTAATTAATTAATATTCAGGACCTGAGTTAGTTCTAAGTCAAACATGGAATTGAAAGTTTAATTGAATTGAATGCTTCTTTTTATACCAGCAATAAATCATGGATTTGTCAATTTGTAAATGAGTTCAACAAAATTTAAATTAAAACACAAAGGTGTGGAGTTGGAACACTGGATTTAAAATATTAACAATTTTCAACCATACTAAGTACAAGTGGTATAGAATTGTAGACCTGGCAACCCATCCACAGTTCTGGGTCCAAGGCCATGCCCTGAAACCTAATATAATCCAAACCGAAATTACCTAAATTTGACTTGGTTGAGACAAGGTCAAATCAACCAAAGTTACCCTACTAATTTTTTTTTTTTTTAAATTTAAACTATTGATTAAAATTACTTTCAATTTTAATTTTTAAATAAAAATAAAATTTAAAATTTATGTAGTTATTATTTATTAGATTATTAGATTTAAGATTAATTTTATAGATTTTTTTAATTAAATAATTAATTAACATTAGATTTTTTAAAGAAAGATAGTTGAGAAACTAGTAACAAATGCATGCCCACAAAATTTTAATTTTAACTTAATTTTTAAAAAGTTGGATCCACTTGACCTAATTTGAGACCTATGTGAGTGGGTCATGGGTCTATCCCCTCCACCTGCAACCCAAAATGACCCAACCCGAGACCCAAGGAAACCTATCCGAACCCACCCAATAGGTCAATAGAAGCCAATGAATTCAACAAAACTTCATAGAATTCACTTATATCAAACCAACTCTAAATATCTAATTGTGAATTAAAGATAAGAAGTAATAGAGCATCTGCATTTTCAACCTCTGGCCAAAAGGGAAAAAAAAAAAAAAAAAACATCTATTCTCGCGGCAGTATTAGCTACTTTATTTGACTAATAGAGGTAACCAATAAATAAAAGGAAGAATTAAGGGCCAGAAATCTTTATTCTCTTTTTGGAATTGCAAATTGAAGACTTTTCACTGAAAAGTAGCCCAAAGAAAACAGTAACCTCCTTATACAACTCTGGGTTTTGCAAAACAGAATATACTGATAATTACAACATAAGGAAAAATAAATTCCATTCAACTAGTAGGAGCCAAAAAATAAACAGGTAATATTAATACTGAGAAAATTAAGGATCTGGGGGCACCTGAATATAGTGGTGAACAACAATTTCATACTGCTCCTTCAGACTAGCAAAATACACTAATTCCTCAACCCTGCCATAGCTGCAGAAATTTGTATAGCCAAAAAGTCATCGTAGCATGGTTGAACAACAAACTCATAAGAGAAAAACCAATATGGATAAAGATAGGCATGGTAATATGACAAGATAAAAACTCTAGCAAATCGAATAACTCCCTTCAAGAAAAAGGAGGCCCCATACCTCAAATTAACTTAAGCAACAAATTGTTGTAAGCCTATACCATCCATTACAGGAAATGCAAAGGATTGCAAATTCTCAGTTCTTGAGAATTGCCCATGTTTTCTTGTCAAATGGAAAAAATTTTCTAAAACTCAAAACCACAAGCCACTAAGAGCAGCACCTCCCACTTCCAGAATCGGGAAACCAATTTTCACTTCTTTCTCTTGCCTTTAGGAGTCACTAACATCATCAAATTTCCAACTTCATGGAAGAACACCATTTTCTTCAAATGTCAACCAGCAATTGAGGTTAGCCTTTCTAAAGTTTCTTTTTCTCTTTTCTTTTTTCCTTTAGAAAAGAATTGATGCTTTTTGATGTTGCACATTAAAGAAATGTTGCTAGAACTATAATTTAACATAAAATAAACCTTAAATGGGTGGATGGATGGATGGAAGTCCCTATGTGAAGAACTAGTTAATTAAAGCTAAGTTTTCAGCTTAACTCTCCTTTCCAAGGTCATTGATTCAAAAGAAAACAACTTCAGCATGCATAGTTAGAAATGATGAAATGGTAACCTTTCTAGAAGTCTCATGGTAGTGGCCTCATCCAATACATCTTTGCAGTCGCTAAGGAAGGCACGAAACTCCCTAATGATTGACTGGTACTCTGAATTACGATTCTCCAAAGCTGTGTCATCTTCTAAAAGAAGCCGGTTTATCTAAAAAGCAGCAAAAATTAAAAGGGATTTTTATTAGAATTGTAAGTGATTAAATAAAAATTACTACTTGATAATTTCTTACACGAAGGAAGAAACCTATAATTTTTAAGTGCAATTTACATAGAAATTAATAAAAAGTCTTTAATGTCATAAACTATTTAATGGAGGCACCTCAAAAAGCTACTTTCAAGTGTTCATGCCCATTTCTCGATCGGGTTAGAGGGCTACTATTATACTTCTTTTTATTGGTGTGTATTATTATTTTCATTAGTTTGGAAATACTGGAGACAAGTGACACTATCATATTAACTGGGATTAAGCAGGAAAAGAGAGAGAAAGAGAGAGAGAGTGCAGGAAATATTAGTAAAAGACTGATGGTATGTTCTCAAATGCCACAAGCATAATATGAAGTATCACGTTACCCTAGTCATGGATTCCATTTGAAAGCATTTTTTTTTCCTGGGCACCTTACTCATCATAACAATTGCCAATTGTGAATTTCAATTTGCAAGCTACGTACACATGATTGGAGGCAAAGAGAGAAAGCAAATGGATAAGATAATAGTTAAAGAAAGAATCAAAACCTTGTCCAAGTAAAGTTCAGTAGCCCATGTGGAAATCATAGTTATTTGGCATTTATCATCCTTCGCAAGATTATCAAGCTTCCTCAATAAGAAGGTTCTTAGAGCATCCTGTAGGTAACCAGAGCACATGAGAGCTTTTCAAATCCAAATGCTTGTAATGAGCAATGACTTTAGACTAGACCAAACTTATTGAACCCATTGTAGTAAATTCAATGAAGCACCACAAACGACTGATTTTTAAGGCAATATTCTAATTGAACTCCAGTAACTCAGCACATTATATACTTCAGCTAAGGTGCAAGAGAGGGAGAAATTTCACTACAGTTGTCAAATTGAAAACCTTGGTTCAATGGATACCTCTCACTTAACTAGTTTTAGGTAATGCCAATAGAGATTAAAATATTCGTAAAACTGGCATTCAAATTCTGTCAAATCAAACAAATAATTAAACCTAAATAATGTCTGAATTCATTTCTTATTTCCCCCTAAAAGGAAATTTGAAGGCACTTTGTTTGCTTGCAGCAACAATAATAAAACATACTCAAGCAAAAATGAAAATCAACATAATAATTTTATAATACATATTTATAAATATGAAAAACATGAAAAATACCAGAATTACCTGTTCGCTTACACTAATAAATTTCAGAGTGATCTCCTCAAATGATAATATGTGGTTAATCTGAAAAAAATAGATATTTTACCAGTCACAAAATTTTCATTCAACTAGGAATTAATGGGAAAAAAAAATGTTTCCCATGAGTCTATGTAAATGAAGCATTTAAACTTTAGCTTCTAAGCTAAATTAAGAGACCTTAATACGCCTACGCAATCAATTGCTAATATGGTTACTAATATGGTGCTTTGTTATGAAGTCACACATTGACTAGAAAGTGGAAAAGAGCAATAAATTGTTAAAAAGTTGTTAGATTTTACTAGAGAAACTAAAAGCAACATTATTGAAAAAAAAGATAGATAGATAGATAGATAGATAGATAGATAGACTATTTTAATGTTTCAAATCCAACTTTTTAATTAATAATAATTTACACAGGTTTGCAGTGTTCATAAAACTCCAAAATCCAGTTTATGAAATATTCCCTTCAGGATATGTAGCTACAGTTAAAAGTCTTAAAAACTTATCAATTGAGACATATATGACTTCTAGATTGCTTTTCAGATGATAGCTTCAATATTACCATGACTTTAAAATAAACAATCAGAGTGCATGCTTTCTGCTGATGAATTGAACACACAAATACAATAAATTAGGAAAGAGAAGTCACTTTTGCATAAAAAGATGCAGCTCTCAGAAAATCCTTGGAGTTGAATGCAGCTTCTGCCTGCATAAAACATTATCTCAGTAACAACCTAAATCGTAGCAAGAGACTCTAAACAAAAGTATTAATTCTGGAAGTAATGTAATTCCATCTTATGAAGCAGAGAAAAAAAAATCAAATAACCCAAAAAAAAAAAAAAAACACTTTTTAAAATCAAATAAAAGATGAAAATTTGCTATAACCTGAACTAAATAAACTCGATCTCTCTGGAGTGGGTCGCGGCAATGTGCTAATGCAGCAGCGTATTCTTTCATGTCCAGATACACCTTCCACATATTACGTCCTTCATCATTCACAGAGACCTAAATACATTCTCAGGTCAAAAAAGACAAAGAAAATTAGTCTCGTGCAACATAGACCAAAGCAGACAGTCATTCTAAGTCATAAGTGGTAGACCTGATAGATGGAATTCTGGTCATAGGCATAGAATAACCCTGCAGAAGCATCACTGCATAGTCCAATGATACCCCTTGAATTTGACTCAGAAGTTAGATCAAACTGAAGTTCTTCTACTATTTGCTCACTAATTCTATTTACAACCTGTACAACATTTAAAGAAGAGAATAAACAGATGTGAAGCTAAAAGAACAAGGCAAATGCATAGGCAGGCAATCCTAGGTGCACTATAAAACAAAGCTATCCAGAAATCCTTGGACTTGATTATAAAAAGCCAAAAACAAAACAGACCTAAAGGCATTATACTCATTACTAGTAGTAGCCTAAAAAAACAAAAACCTAATTTCCAGAATAGCTGTAGCTTTGCCCAGGAGACCAACTATGAATGTTAACAAAAGTAAAAGAGTATATAATAAGCTTATTAAACACACCTTAACCTTATTCCCAATAAGAAGCAGGAAGTGAAACTCAGACACTGCCATGGAACTAGGTTTGACCACTTCTGCACCATTAGACAACTTTGAATAGTCCAACAAGGCTTTGTTCTCCACAAAGTTTTGATCACCATTTGGAGAACTATACAGCAATATTCCAAATAAAAAATCATAAGTATAGATCAATACAAGAACTACATCAGATAAAAGATTTAAAAAAGGTCAACAGCAATGAAAATAAGAAAATACACATTCAAAGTTTGAGAATGAGACAACGAAGAGAAACTAGTAACAATGCATGACCACTAACAGATGATTTACAAAAGAAAAGGTGTAGGGTTTGATTCTCTACCTAAGCTGTGCCCCAAAATTTAGGCCACCGTGGTAAATACCTGCCCCAGAAAGCCATGCAAAATGAACAGCTCTTCGTTGCTTCATAAAGAAATGTAGCTCACTGAAAGAAAACAATAATGGTAAAAGAAATCAAATACTCATAAAGAAAGCTCAAAAGATTTAACAGGTACCAACTATAAAAGAACAAGATTGATTCTAATAACAAACCTAAACACAATAATAATAAGATTTCCACCATCCAAGTTTTATTTTCTGTCATAAATAGTTCAAAACTATAAAATAAATATATACAAACATACTTGCCTGTTTGGTATTTCACCAGGAAGTTCCATGAAATGCACAACACGTTCTAGGTAACTAGCAAACACAGTCTACAAATAAAAGAAAATAAGAAAATACATGAATATAAAGTTTACTTATTACTGCACTCTAACTCAGAAAAGGCTCTATGCAAATAAAAGGTTGTTCAAGTCATTGGAAGAACTCGTAGGATAAGAACATAGCCAGGAAAATGGGCAACTTTTTTCTTATCTTATGATGCTAAATGTAGAAGGTTTTACAAGAAATTTACTGCACTTAAAATGCTAAAAGCATGGCCACCAAAGTAACATTTTGGAGGGCAACATCCATGCAGGCACCACTAGATATCTATTATACAGAACATCCAGTCAGGGAAAAAAAGGTGTACTTCAATGCTGAGAAAAACCAATGGGCTTAGCTAATTGATAAATAAGAGAATGCATCAAGAACTAATGAAAACAAGGTATGGTCTATAAACTTGAAAGACCAGAAGCCTCCAACTGCCACAAAGAAATGGGTGGTTTTACCCAAAAAAATTATAATCAGCTCACCAAGAAAATGAAACAAATAAAACTTTTCATTGCTTGGAGAAGAGTATGTTAACTTTACAAACTCCAACTGACAACAAATGTAAATGGTAAAATCAAGGGTTCTTATTAAGTTGAAGCTTTAGAGTAGACCAGATAAATATTTGCAGGTGTTTTATGTGAGTGCATACATGTGCGCGCATAGTAGAAAGAGAAACATCAACAAAAAAAGTAACAATTTAGCATGTAAAATGCAGAATGGCTCACAACATCATATTTCATTTGGGCCATTCTTGAACCTCAACTCAGAGAGCGGTCAAGTGAGCTTAACTTACCTCTAATGATCCAGTTCCAGTGAAAGAATACAGTCTTGTAGGAGTAACTGCCATCACATAATATCTCGTACCATTCATTAAACTAGCTGTTTCCATCTGTGCAGATTTAGTTTCAGTAATATAGAAGAAAAAAAAGTTAATGCGAATGCTAGCTTTCCTAATTGTCCCATGAGCTATAAACCTATTATTTAAAAAGATGAGAAAAATAAAGAAACATGTTAACAATGAGTTGTACATCAGTACTTGAAATCCAGAAATCAACTTCTCTCTACCAAGGAAAAAAAGGGTGATGGACCAACTAGCTGCCCATATGAAATAAAAGAAAATGTAGACAAGCCAAGGCAATAAAAACAACCATCTATACAAGACCTTATACAACCATTAGTAAAAAGGTACTAACAAAGAAGAATCAACTTGCATATGGAGCCCACTCTACCAAGCAAGTTGGAAGAGTACCTGCAAACCCATGATAGCTTCTGGAAGTTCTGTTAATTCAAATAAAGGCTTAATATATTTTTCCTTCTTGTCCTTCTCATCCACAGCCAACTCATAGAGTTGGCCAGTTTCTGTCCCGAGAATAACTTCCCTTGTAGATGCTGTGTTAAGAAAAAGGAAAGAAATAATAGCATGATTCTAACCCTCAAACTGGTAAAAATGAGTAACAGGTGTATTAAATTACCTTCTGTTATCTGTTGTCTATTCCAAGCAACAGCATTCACAACTAAACCTTTCAATCTGCCCAATAAACGAGGCTTACTCCACTTTGCATGAGTATAAAAAGTATCAGTAGCTCCACCACCAACAACAGTAGCAATACAATGGCTGCCTCCAGGATCAACAAAAACTCTATGGATGGATTGCTCACCACTTCGGCCCACAGAGAGATCAATATCTTCCAAAGAAAAAGAAAAATTAGAAATGCTTCCATCTAATCCTAGGTTGTAAATAGACAATTGGGACCATTTTCAAGCCAAGCCTCAGGTTATAAAAGCTGGAGACAATCATGTTACAACTAAACTTTATAATCACTCACTCACCTCCACTCAGCTAGATAACTTTGAAATATGTTACAAGGTTATCTTATTTGAAGCAGATCAAGAATCAGGTTAAAGGCAAGCCTAATAGCACTAAGTTCAAGAAATTGAATTTCAGAAGCTTAGCTTGCTTTACAAGCATATACATGGAAGCACGTTTACAGTATTATGTTTCAGCTACTAAATACCATAAAATTTGAATATTGCATACATCTACAAAATCCCCATAAGAGCTTTACGATAAATCCAATAAAAAGAAGGAACATATTCAGCACAGGAAGTAAAAGGGTAAGTGTATAAGAAGAACAATACCATTGGAATCTCCAACCCCAAAATCATATCTGATAACCCACCCTTTGCTTGTTCCCAATACAATTACATCGTTTCCAGCTGCCATACAAGTAACAACACCCCGCCCCTTGGCCGCATATCTCTCTAGAAGATCCACCATGAATACCTGCCTCCCTTGATCCATCTTCCAGCTCCACCTAAACTCCAGTACTACAATAACAAAAATGCACGAAATTACATAAATCAAATTCTTAATTTAATTCAATCATCTCATACTTCACTTAATTTATGAAAAAATGAACTCAATTACATTTGATTGGTGATCAAATCGGGTAAAATCGATTGAAGTTGAGATTTTAGGCAAAAATACATTAACTAACAGCTTTTGTGATTAACCCTAGGAACAAAGGTGGAAGACTATTGACCAGTGTTTTGAAACCAGTGTTATCAATAGCAGATAACAGCAAATAGCAGAAAGGCCAAAATCCACTATGGTAGCATAGCGGCCGCTATAGACAAATAACAGTATTTAATAAAAAAATTAAAATATAAATCTAATAATTAAAATAAGAGACAAATCTAGTAATAAAAAGCATAAATTGACCTAAGAGTTTATAAAAATTATCAAAAATCATAAAAACCAATATTCTCAAGTTTTAAAATATGCCTTTTAGCTCTGGTGATACCACCAGTGGTAACTTTATTACAAAAGTTAAAGACCACCCGACTTGAGTTATTAGGATCTTGCAACTTATTATATTTCCATCCAATCTCATCATCTGATCTGCTTGTTTTTAATCTTGATGAATTGGTAATTGATCCACTTTCCATGTCACTGTTAAAATCAACTTATTATATATACAATCTAGACTTCCATATTAAAAAGTACATCATAGAATCAAAATCAAGATTTATTTTTCCTATATAAACTTGCTTCAATACAGAAAAAA